GGACGGGCTCTCTGTGGTTAGTGAGGATTTGCACTGTGGGCTGCTGAATGCTGTAAGGAAGAAAAACTACAGTAACCTGTCTTGTAAAAAAAAAAAAACGACCACAGTCTGTACTTTGAATGACCATTAAAAAGAGCTATGGGGAAATTTAGCTTAGTGATTGAAGTATAGGAAAACAATCTATAAAAGGGGTGCCCCATTTTTTATTTTATTATTAGTCAAAATTATGTCAAGTTTATTTGTTCCTTTGTGGCTTACATCATGCAGATTTAGCGACGCACAGACTAGGTTTTCAAAACCTCTGTAGAGGAATGACATTTTATCCTCATTTGGAGAAAAGTCTACCTAAAGTGGAAGTTCAGACCTTTAAAAGTGGGGTTCTGTGGAAAGGTCATGAACAACTATTATATTTTTTAAACAGTTTAGAGAATTGACCAGCTGACAGCTTGTCTATCAGGATAGGTGGATGAACAACTAAGTTTTTTTTACATTAAAGTTGTTTTAAGATACCAACAATCTGCTTCGGTAGGAATTAAATTATATTTCTTCGATTTGAGTCCATGTAAAAAGGCATCCATAATAGATAAGACATTATAAATTATAATACCAGTAATGTACCCGTGCTCCTTTAGAATGCCTGCCATATAATGAATTTGAGCTATCACGTTATTGAACATAAATAATATTCTGCATTAGTGCATACAGTTATGGTCAACTTACTTTTAACAGCATTTAAATATAGATCCAGTCTAAATTAATTTCATGACTAATGTAAATACAAAAGCTATAATAATATGTTGGTTGCCATAGCAACAGTAAATTCACCATGGACTTCCAGCTTTACCAGTTTTAGCTAAACCAGCTTACCATACACACAAAACCATCATATCGACGAGTATTTAAAGATGGCAGTTTTGGATGAAAATACACCTGCATGTTAGAATAAATACATTTCGACATCATATTCACATTTTTCTTGTTTGTTGTTGATGCCATTTACTTGTGTTTAAGTGTTGTTGTTTTTTAAGCTGATTCACAGCAATCAAGCTGACTTTAAAATAAATTCTTGTCGCTACCTTTCTTCTCTACAGGGTTGGCTTGTTCTGGGTTCAGGGGCCTCAGTGTGCTTAAACTATACTGGCATTGTGGTGTTGTGGCATGGCACAAAAAGACTCACAGCAGCCACCACAGCCTGGCAGGGACGTTAAAGCTGACTCATTTGCTCCAAGGCAGAGGGAAGTTTTACTCAAGGACAACTGATTTGCAATCTGCCATATCCACATTTGTGATTTGAAACAATAGCTCAGTTTCCGCAAAGAATTTGGAGTTTAAAGGACAAGGGAAGATGGCAAAATAAAGAATAAAATGTATACAATTTACTTTTTCTTCTACATACAGAGTTGTGTGCAAACATCAGAGAAATTAACAGCAAGAAACAATGTTATCACTGCTAGGCCACACAGGCTGTAAGATTTAAATTAGTGTAAAGTCTTTTTTTATTTTTTTATTTAAACTGGCTAGATCTAAAAAAGTTTTAGTCAGGTCCTCTGGATGGGTTAAAAATATTTAAAAAATTAAAATTGTAGAAACGTTTCGTCTTTCATCCGAAAGACTTCAGTCTGAGGAGCTGTAGCTCAGTCTTACAAATAGCACCTTCTCATAGTGGATCAACCAATTTGCTGTTGACATCCAGAACTAGCTGTTCACATGCTAAAGGAGGACCAGCAGCCTAACAATGGCTCGTTAGTACCCTGATGGCTGCTTGCTATTCACAGGGGGCTAAACTTGTTAGGGGAAGAATCAGTTTTGTGTTGTATGATTCCTTGACTGATGAAGCCTTCCGGATCGAAGGCGAAACGTTTCAGCACAAATAAAGAAACTGTCCAAATGACCTGACTGAAAAATGTTGGATTGTATACCTGGATTATTGAGCATGGACTTTGTTGTTAAACTTGTTAGAGTTGTTCAAGCCACTGGAACTGATTTGCATGTGAAAACATGCCCCTGTATGTCCTGATGCATGCTCAGTAATCCAAGTAGATACATCTAACAAAGTAAAGTCAGGTCCTCTGGACAGATTTTTCTTTGTTGATGCGTTTCATCTTTTATCCAAAAGACTTCTTCAGTCTGAGGAGCTACAACAAACTCAGTCTTATAAATAGCACCTTCTCATAGTGGATCAACCATTTTGTTGTTGATATCCAGAACTAAATGGACTGCATTCGTAGTGCTTTTCTACCTTATCAAGACACTCAAAGCGAAGAAAGAAAAAAAAATAGCAATGGCTGCGAATAGCAATAACTACAACACGTATCCTCATTTACCCATTCATACAGCATTCTACTATATCTATATAAAGAATAATTAGGGCTTTATTACGTTCATACACCAATGGGACAGGGATTAACCTGTATAAATAAAGGTTGAATGAATGAATTAGAGGCAATGAGGGGCTCAGTGTCTTGCCCAGGGACACTTCGGCATGTGACTGCTGATGGAATCGAACCCCCAACTCTTGCATTGGTGAATGACTGCTTTAACCACTCTGCCACAGCTGCCCTTTAACTAGCTGTTAACATGTAAAAAAAGTAGAACCATCAGCCTAACAACTGATCGTTAGTGCCCTAACAATTAGTCGTTAGTGCCTTAATGGCTGCTTGCTATTCACAGGTGGCTGAGTGATGCAACAAGAGCACTGTAAGAGGGGGATAGTTGAACACGAGACCTCTGCTCCTGTTTAACGATGGATGGGTTCTCTTCACAAAGATGGCATCCTTTACTCCTTTCTCAAGGAACTATCAATCTCTATCAATCCTCTCTATCAAGGAACTTGGTAGAGAGAAACGCAGGTGTGAGAGAGGAGTAAAGGAAGCAGCTTTGTGAAAAGAACCCATCCATCATTGAACAGGGGCGGCGAGACCTTCATGTTCAACTGTCCCCCTCTTAGAATGCTGTTATTGCAAGTATCACTCAGCCCCCTGTGAATAGCAAGTGGTCATCAGGGTACTAACGATCAATTGTTACTGATGGTCCTTCATTTTTACACGTGAACAGCTAGTTCTGGATGACAACAACAAACTGGTTGATCCACTATGAGAAGGTGCTATTTATAAAACTGAGTTTGTTACAGCTCCTCAGATTGAAGAAGTCTTCAGGATAAAAGACGAGACATATCAACACAGAAGAACCTGTCCAGAGGATCTGACTTAACCTTGTTAGATGCCACTTTAAAAATTATGAAAACTACGACTAATGTCTGCTTTTTCAGGAAATGATCCAATAATTTACTCTTTTGTGCGATTTATGTTTTTGTTTCGTTTTGTTGGCCGTATAAATCAACTCTGTGTGGTGTATGATGCCTTTAAAATGGTGGAGAAAACTCATCAGAAGCAGGCTTTAAATCTTGAGATGCATGCATGCACTGACAGATGCACACCTCTATAGGCTCATGTGAAAAGGCCCACAGGACAAAGACTTTTATTTTACTTATACCAGATTTTTTTTTTTTTTTTTTTTTGCATACTTTTCTTATAAAGAAAGACGTATAAATATGTAAACGGGCAAATTGAAAACTGAAATGTTGTGTTTCTTATTGGGGAAAAAGGACGTTTCGCATTATTTTTTATCAATATGTTCATCAGAAGCACGGGGGTCGGCTTGTTCACTTCATCTGTTTGTTTTTAAACAGTAACCATGAATGACATATGAATATGAATAAACAAAATCACAGTGAGGTTCACTCCTTTTTACTCTAAAAGAACATTTTAGAACATGCAGTTTAATGACGATTTAAAAAAAAAAAAAAAACATTCTTTCTTTCAAATTAGAAGTACAACCTGTCTCAAGTTTTTTAAATAAAACATTTAACATTACATGTAAGTGATGCAAAGATAAAGCATCGCCACGTCTTTAATGCGATCCCTTCTTTTAGTGTAGCAAATGGAAAAGCCAAAATAAGAACAGAGTGTTTCAGATGCAAAGAAGTGGGCAACATAATGACTTTTTCTCTTTTCTCGACTGGTCATTCAGGGGGAGGCTTTTCTTTCCTTTTGTTGCACAGGTTGGCATATAATTAACTCCTGCTTAATATGCCGTGTAAGGGCTTCTCTCCCCATGGAAGAAGCTTTGAACCCCCTAGACCACAAACCAGGACAAAACCTCAGTAGGGCTGCTTCCTCCGAGCTCTCTCAAGAGAGAGTCTTTTTAAACAGACAGTAGACAACTTAACATCATGGCTGCTCTCATATTCCACAGCTGTAAAGCCATGTTTGTTGTAAACATATCGGCCTATATCCAGTAAACTGGTGGCTTCAGCTGTAAAGTGATTCAGAGTGCAGAAGGTTTTATACTCTAAGATAAAGCTGAGAAACTCTTTACTGAGTAACAAGCTGCAGATAAAACTGAGCACATCAGTCAAAATGTACAGAACTTACCTTTTTTTTATGTTTTTCAACTGAGTGCATAAAGATAGCTTTGAAAAGCAGCTCCCAGGACCTCCGTTGCACCTCTGCACCTCTAACCTCCTTCTGTAGAAAAGTTTATTGCCTCATCCACCTCCTCTCATGTGGCCACAAAGGAGCAGGATGACCCCTCTGTCCCTCTGCTCCCTCTCCACCTTCAGGATGCTTTCTCTAGAATCCATTAAAGCCACAACCACCCCCCGATGAATACACCCAAAAACGTTTTTTTTTTTTTTTTGTAAAACGTTTTTTTTTTTTAAAGAACATGTTTTTATTGTTTTACTTTTTAGTGATTTTTGTGCCACTTTGTGCTTGAATTAAAAACAATCTTAATAAGTTTGAGAATGATTAGAGTAAATTCTCTTGCAAATAGTCACCTCTGTCCTTAACTTTGTGTCAGATCCTTGTTTGTTTACTCCCCTTATGGATCCATTATGCCTGCTGAAAAGTGGGACAGTAAAAAAAGCCAAAGTGGGGGGTGGGGGGGGGGGTGGGGGTCCTGTTTACTGCTGTTTCTTTTTTCTTTCTTTCTTTTCTCAGTTGCAAAACAGATTACGGTCCAGGTTGCACAAAGCGCTGTCAATGCATCACTTCCTGCAGCTTCCAGGGGTGAAAGGGTCGCAGGACGGGGTCCACTCCGGGGTTCTGCAGCGCAGGTGCAACATGCATAACAAGCCCAGCTATAAAAACGTGTGAAACTGCGGGGGGGTGCACAGACCTGTCCTCATTAACCTGCAATCATTCATGAAAACGGGGCCGCAGCTACTAAAAGAGCGGATGCTTTATTTTGGTGAATTTAGAAAATATCTTGTGAATTCTTTTTTAATTTTAACATGTCAAACAAACAAACGGAAAATGTCTCCAAATTAAACCGATCCATTTGCAAGAACGCACGTGAGCAATCCTGTTTTTTTTCTTTCTGCTTATTCGTGGAAGAAACGAAAAGAGATTAAAGGAGGTGTCTCATCTAGTTTGATTTCAGCCTCGCTGCTTTGAGGAAGGTGTAGTTTGGAGCTGACCTCAGGGCCAGCCTCTGCTGCTGACATCACCTCCGCGTCTGTGCGCCTCAGCCCGCGGAGCCCCATCAGGGTGTGCGCGTCCCGCTGCGCGCGAGGGGCGATGCCTCAAACACCAGCCGTCCCCAGGACGCGACAGAAGCTCCGCTGCCCGGGACAGCTGCTTTTCTTCCCACATCGAGCTGCAAGCCTGCGCGTGATGGCAGATGAGAGCCGGGGGAAGCGCAGGAAGCAGGCCAACCCGAGGAGGAACCGAGGTAAGAGAAAGTGGGAAAGTTTGGAGCAAAGTTGGGGAGGGATGCGGTGAAGATGGTGCTGCTGCGGCGCGTGAAGGAGATCAGGATTTGGAACTTTTAAACATCTGGAGTCACTGCGCTGATGTTTCTGTCACGTTTGCTTTGAGACTGCAGGTTTTATTCGATTATTATTATTATTGTCACCTGTTTCAAAATCCTGCAGCACTTTTTAAAATGAATAAATAAGTCATTTTAGGCTCATTTGAAATAAACAACAAAGTCCATGCTCAATAATCCAGGTGTACAATCCAACAGTTTTCAGTCAGGTCATCTGGACAGGTTTGTTCATTTGAAAGACTTGAGATGGAATCGTTCAGAGAAGTCGAACAATATTTTCAAGAAACTGTTAAGCTTTGCAACTTTTGAAGTTGTGTCCCTTTTTATGTAACTTGGATATGTAGCAAAAAGATCCTCAAGGCTTTTTTGCCACTCCTGTCACATTTTATGTGACTGCTGCTCTGCAACAAGATGATTCATTAAAACAAAAATAGGATTGGACTAAGACAAGAAAAATAAGCGTTCAATCCCTAATAAAAATCACTGGTAAAATTAAAAATATGTGCACTCATCCTGAAGGATGTTTGTCACGATTCAAAGTGGAGGTGGGTAGATATAAACACATTTGACAATCTTAATGTTTTTCCTTTTAGCACCAGCTGCTCATATAGATCAACTCAAAGTCTTTAGATGATGTCAGTTATCTGTTTGTGCGACTTCCTTCTGAATTATGAGAGGAACTTTAAGAGTATGCGGTGCATTTAATAACTTTGTGAAGACTGTTCTCGTGCATCAGGCTGCATCTCGTTGCTGCGTAATTCAAGCAACATGCATGTTTACAATAGTAGTCCCAATTCTTTAACCCCAAATGATAAAACTATCACATTAAACAGATGCTTCTCTTAACCATTACATTTTTCCACCAGAAATGAAAGTACCCTAAATATGTCACATAATTCTAAATAATGCTTCCAATAATGAGGTGTATGATAAGTGTCAGCAACGTCCTGCTGCTGATATGTCAAAGAAATGGTGTAAATTATATATAGCCTTATAGTCTTAGACAGTCTGGACTTTGATATATATGTTCTTGTTGTTCTTGAGGCCTCTTCAAGTGTTTCTCAAAAGCCGTCAGAGACCGTGCATGTGATGCTCCTTCATATCATATACATATAAAGACACATGTATTTGCCACAAGAAGTCAGTCAACTTGTTTATTAGTTGCCTGTAAGAGTTTCCTCATTTTGTTCAGAAAGATGTGAAGCTGAGCGGAGTGTCACCGGCGTGAGAGCTGCTCAGCGTTAACGGACCCTGGCATGCTCATGTGTACACACACACACACTCACACACTCACCTTCGACTGCCACATAGCAGTTAGTTGACGACTATCTCTTAAATCAACAGCGTCACACCACCCCGAGAGCTAAACAGCTCTCTAACTGACCTTTTTACTTATCAGACAACTCAGGAGGACAGTTCAGTTCCTTTATTCCTGCAGCAGCACAAGAATAAGCTTCACCTGCTCTTTATTTCGTGGAGCACACAGTGATGGTGGGCTGCAGGAGGACTGAAGTGTTTCCATAAAGAACCCTGAAATAAAGACAAACTCAAAACGTATGAAGCTGAGAAACTAAAGCAGCATCATTTATACTTGGTGAATCTTCTATAGGTGTGAGCTGATAGAGAACATGTGTCAGGCGTGCTTGTAAAAAGTTAGTGCCAGTGGGTGTGTGAAGTGTGTACTGCATGTATGCATCAAGGCCTCTTGTAGAAATGTGTGTATTTAAGCTGCGTGCAGGATTTGGAATGTGACTTAAAAGTCTTGATAAAACCAAATAAATTTGGCAGGCTTGACTCATAAGACAGGGATTTGGAGGATCTTTTCCAAACCAGAAGAAAGACGAAAAAATATAGTCGGACTTTTCTTCTCGCTTCAAGGCGCCTATTGATTGTGTCTCTGTCTCTTCCTATAAAAATGTCAATGTTCGGCAATATAGAGCAATGTGAGGAAATTACAACTCTTCATTCCAGGCAGATTGGAAACAGCACTGAAAGGAAACACACACGCTCGGGAAAGAAAAAATAAAAATCACATTAAGTGGTCATCGTTAGCACTGATGGCCACCAGTTTCACCATATTCACCAGTTTTTAGTTACTGAGGGACTTTTTATTTATTTATTTATTTATTTGCTATATACATTTTTTTCCAAACTTAAAGTTGCATTATTTTTTTTTTAATTGTTTGATATAAATACAATTTATAATGAAACTAGAAAAAAAGCATTTTTTTCAGTAAATGCAGCGAAAGCTGACAGACTTTATTGAAATTTGCTAAAGCTTAAAATGAGGATTTTAACAAGCTTTTTTCAACTGTCAGAAGCAAAACACTAGCTTATAGCTAAAAAGAGCAACCATTACATAAAATAAAATAAAGGAAACACATTAGCAAAAGTAACAAAAAAGTAGCTAAATTTACCAAATGCTAGAATAATGTTCAAAGTATTAAAAGTTAAACATTAGCCAAAATTAGCCCATCAAAATGTTGTCAAGGAGTTTATAAAAGGCTGAGTGAAAATTGAATGTACCAAAAAGGCTAAACCAAAAGTAACAGCATGGTAGCTAAAAGCTAAAAGTAGCAAAAAGCTGAGTGAAAATTGAAAGTACCAAAAAGGCTAAGCCAAAAGTAACAGCGTGGTAGCTAAAAGCTAAAAGTAGCAAAAAGCTGAGTGAAAATGTATAGTACAAAAAAGGTTAAATCAAATGTAACAGCATGGTAGCTAAAAACTAAAAGTAGAAAAAGACTGAGTGAAAATCGAAAGTACCAAAAAGGCTAAGCCAAAAGCAACAGTAGCTAAAAGTAGCAAAAGGCTGAGTGAAAATTTAAAGTAATAGAAAGGCTAAACCAAAAGTAACAGTGTGGTAGCTAAAAGCTAAAAGTAGCAAAAGGCTGATTGAAAATTGAAAGTACCAGAAAGGCTTAGCCAATAGTAACAGTGTGGTAGCTAAAAGCTAAAAGTAGCAAAATGCTTGGTATAAGTAGAACAGTAGCTAAAAGAAAAATGGTTTGTAAGCTCATTCATCCAGGTTGATAAATTCAAAAAAGTTTAAATCAGGTCATCTGGACAGTTTCTTTTTGCTAAAAGCTCAACTGTGCATAAAGCAGGTATGTTGCAGTAGATTTCAATATAAACAATGTTTTGAAGGAATTAAAGATATAATATTTCTACAGGTAAAATAGTTGTAAGTTAATATTTTGAAAAATTGCAAAAAACAGAAGTCATTGCATCCATCTTCAGAATCAGCTAAACACTGTAAAATATGAATGGCTGAAATAGCTCAAAGTTGGACTGCAAAGAATAAACTGATAAACAATAGTTGATTAATGCTGACTCACACAATACGCTTAAAGGACTTTAGAGGAAAATCATGATCAACGTATTTCAGTATTTGCAAGCCAGCTTTTATTAAGCAACACAATAATGTTCACTCTCTGTCCTAATGGATTTCACAATAAGCTCTTTGTGGCGCCATATCTGCTGTCGGAGGCACAGTTTTTTTGATTGCTTGTTCCCCCTCCTCGCTGATTTCGTTCTTCTGTTTGGTTTATGAGCTCTCCCACGTTCCTCATGGGTTTGACCAGAATGAGATCCACAGATCTCATCAGACCCCTCAAACTTTTCGAGTCCCATGTCTGTCTGTGTTTCACCTTACAATCTGTCCCCGTTGTGTTTTGTTGTCCTCGCTCTGTTGTTGAGTGTCTCCTTTTTTTTTTGTTCTGTTTCCATCACTCCCTCTCTCATGTTTTGGTCTTTTTTCAAGTGCCAATTTATTTAAAACTCCTTTCCCCCTTTTCTTCTTTCTCCTTCATTGATTTCCAAACTCCAGTCTTTGTGTGCAGCTGGAGCCCAGCTGTGTGACTGTGCGTGTGCACGTGCGCACATACATGTGTGTTTGTGTGGGGCTTTTTGGCACACTGCTGCCACAGTGAGCATAGCACACTGTACACAAAGGACTCGAGAAACAAAAAAAGAAGGGGGGGGGGGGGCACTGGATTGCTGAAAACCATCACTGCAGAGTGGATGGGCTGGGCCTTTTTGGACTGATCTGGCTGTAACGAGAGATATGGATGAGGGGTGGGGGGACAGCGGTGGAGAGTCCAGGCATCACAGTTTATTACCAGGACTCTTCAGGCGTCAAAACCAGCGAGTGGGGGGACATGAGACGAGAGGAGGATGATGGAGTTGACAGAGCTGGGGAGTGAAAACAGTGGATTTTGGGGCTTGAGGGATCTGTGAGGGCAGAGCCGTGTGACACAACGTGGGATCATCGTTGACTTGTCCTCACTTGTTCCCACAGATTTCTCCCAGCGTGGGTCTGCGTGTGTTTAAGGCCGTGCAGCGGCAACGAGGAGTCCCCTTGATTGAGTTTTGTGCACTCGCACGTTTATTTAATTACCGCTCGTTCTGATGCTTCAGATGTAGCAGAGGCGGTTCTATTCCACACTGTGCACGGCTGCCACTCTGATGATCCTTTACTGTGGGAATTATCATCGCTGAAAGATGAAAGACAGTGATACCGCCTGTGTGTTTGCTCATGTTTGTTAGCAAAATATCTCATGAATCACCAAACAGACTTTAATTAAATTCTCATAAAGTATTAACAGGAGGTACATCTATAACTGATTAACATTTTGGAGTCGCCCACTACAAGATGGCCGCCACAGTCGTTTCACTTTAGCCAGCACAAACATGTTGATAACTCGGTGAAATTTACAGATAATGAGCTAAATTTAGGTGTAGTAGCTGAAAGTGCTCCCCAACAAATGAACTGAGAAATAACAGATTGCTTGAGATCCATGTTTAAAATTTATGGAATTAATTGTTCACGTTAACATTGTCTGTTAGCAAAATATCTCCTGAACCACTAGACAGATTTTAATAAGAAAACATCTGAACTCACTCAT